AAAGTTTTTTTTTTTTTTTTTTTCCCCTGCACTGAGGTGTTGGATCCTCTTATGTAGCCTCTGGGGTTCCACAAAGCATTCTTGTCCTTTGTGGTTACTAATTAAAATTAGTGTTTTTGTGGAGAAAATACGGGATAGATCTTTATATTTCATCATTTCATCTGTGTTCCCAAAAATTTTTTAAAGAGATTTTTGCTATAGGGTACATGCACTTGCTGAAGAGACAGAAAGAGACAGAGAAACAGCAATTGAGAAATAACTCCCCACCCCAAGGGGGATGGCCATACTGCAATCTCTTGTCCTCCATTCTCCTCTCAGGATTTTGGGCACACATGTACATGTGCCTGGTGTGAGTTCTAATCCACATCTGGGACTCAAACTGTGGTCAACTATGTGGGAGTTCAGCAATGTAACCATTCTGCCATCTGCTGGTTCTCCCAACAATTTTTAATTAGTAAAAGAATGTGACTTAGAGAAGATTTGCAAAATTTTTAACTAAAAAATTCTATTCAAAACAATTCTGTTTTGAAATAAAATTTATATGGACTCTTGATATGGTTTGAATTGTGTCCTCTCTAAATTTATAAGTTGAAGTCCTATCCTGCTATGTTGTGGGGGATTGGAGGATTGGAAGGTGATTAGAATTAGAAGAAGTCATGAAGGTGTAGCCCCTGAGATGAAATTTGTGTCCTTATTATAAGTAAACGAGATCAGAGTTATTTCATGCTCTGCCATGTGAAGATGCACAAGAAGGTGATGGTCTGCAAGTCACAAGGAGAGCTCTCATAAGAACACAGCCATGGTGGCACCCTGACCACAGACTAGATGGCATAGACAACAGAAGCTTATTTTGTCACAGTTCTGGAGTATGGAAGTTCAAGATCAAGTTGCCAACAGGGCTGCTTTCTAGTGATGCCTCTTCCTGGATAATAGATGTCCACTTTCTGCCGTCTTTACATGGGTGTGTGTATGTGTGTATGTATTTAAAGAGATCTCTGTCTCTTCTTCCTTCTCTATTGGATTTTGGCCCCACCCTTATGATCTCATTTAACCTTAGTTATTCCTGAAAGGCCCTATTTCCAATCAGTCACGTCAAGGGTTAGAATTTCTACATGAGTTTTGGGAAGACACAGTTTAGTTCATAACAAGAGTAATCAAATATTTAACTCATAAGATTGATGTATGTTTAAATGAGTTAATACATGAGAAATGCTCAGAGATAACAAGTATTTAATGATCGTTAACTGTTTTATTTATTATTAGAAAATGTTATTTCTAGAAAATCATGGCTTCATAGAAAATGCCATCCATGTTAGGATATTGCCCAGCTTCGGAAAGAGGCGGGTGATTTCACAGGGTCTTGCTCAGAGCTGTGTTGGCAGGCACAAGTTTGCATTAGCTCCCTCTCTTGCAGGCTGAGTCTCAATGCCCCTAAGACCCTCAGGAAAGGGGGGATGCTTTCTCCATGCCATGGCAGCTGCATGTACAGTTGTTCAGCTGTCAGCCTTCATTCTTCTGACCAAGGCGATCTGCAGAACTTGATGAGGAGGAGGTATTAGTGCGTGGCTTGTCTCAGTCCAGATCTGCACACTTCAGTTTTCCTAGAACAGAGCCGATCGAAGATGGTGGGGAATAAGAAATTCAAGCTTCACGCTGGAGATGGGTTCTATTCATCGCTAAGCCTCAGTATCCATCCCAGTGCCTACGATAAACCAGTCCATGTTCAGTAACTGTTTGTTGGATGCATGAATGATGAGTGAATGGATGATGGTTAAATAGCACCTTTCTTTTAAAGATCCTGTGACATACTAAGGGTTGTTGGCTGCATCTTTTCTGGCAAATAAAAAGAAAGAAATAAGAGAATAAATAAAGAAAGGCAGAAAAACAAAAAGAGAAAAAAGAAAGGAAGAAAAAGAAAGAAAAAGGGAGGAAGGTGGAAGCAAGAAAGCGAATGAAAGAGGACAGGCGGCTGAAGGGAGGGAGGCTGGAGCATGGGCACAGCTGTCTCAGAAGACAGACGCATTCTTTGCACTCGGGAACCTGCTGTCATGGGCTTCCACCTGTCTCACTTATCACGTATGTCACCAAATTAATTATTTCCCGCTTCGACACCACTCTTGTATGCCCCCTGGGCTGTACTGAGACTGGCTCCACCCAGACCCTCTTGACAAGGAAGACTGACTGACTACACCTGGTAGGTGTGAGGATACACAGGGTAGAAAGTTAATTAGCCAAGGCAGAAAAAAATAGATGCAGAAGGAGAAGCCGCTGTGCTATTTCCATCAGCATCCTTGTCATTCCTCTTTCCTTATCCTCCTCTGGGGCTTTTTCTAATTACGGAGAACCTAGTGTTGAGGGAAAAAGTGTTCAGAAGAGTGAGTGTACAGAAGAGCCAAGCTGGACAGGAGGGGGGCCTGGCGACTCCTGTGCCTGTCTGCGTGGGTGTGAGTCTCCTGGGTCCTCAGGTGGCCGAGGACTGGGGTGAACAGGATGGTGAGCAGAGCACAGGTACAGTATACAGATTCAGGTTTAGATGTGTCGCTTTGAGAAACTTCCTCGAAGACGGGAGTAGAGAGAGGGCATTCTAGAAGGTGAAGGACTCGGTTTGAGACTAAGGCCAGTTACTCGCTGGTTCTGTAGCCTCTGCATATGCTTTCTCAATTTCTCCCCTGAGATGAAAAGGTAGATCATCTCCAAGACTCCTCCACCCCCACCCCCCATTCTGCAATTATGTTGTATGGTTTTCCCATTGTGCTGAAGGGATCGTTTCTCCTGGCAGCTCTGAGGGAGTTGGTGAGAGGCAGGGGAACTTGACTCAGAAACTTCAAGGCAGTCTAGACCACGAAATATTCCCTCAAATGACCAAACTTAGCAACTCAATTGAGGGGGGGAGGAGTCTGTGTTTTCTAAGGGGGTTCAGTTTGTTTTCCTACATGGAAAGATACTAAGTAAATGGCCATCGGGAGTTGGAAACAGAAGCCCGTTCGGTCCCAGGAGCCATGGCCATCGAGGTGTCTGTTCACATCATGCCCATCAGCCAGTGAAGTGGGTGTTCAGGTACCGAGCAGGACTTCCCAGGAGGGGGTAGATTCTGATCGTCTGGAGCCAGAATTTAGACAAAACGTTAGAACACAGAAAAGCAATTTGGGACCTAAGGTGTTAAAATTCCCAGTAGCTTAAAAAAATTACCCCCAAAAATGAATAATAAAAGACATTTTACCCATTTGGTCATAAATAGAGTAGTTCAATAGCACGAGAAATCATGCGGACAGTGTAGGGAGACATAAAAGCTCTGAATTATGTATTAACGTGTCATGTGAGAAGAAAAAGTGCTAAAGAAATAGTGTAAGAAAAATAAATACAGCCACATTAAGAGTGAACACGTCCCATTTGGTCAGTTATGTCAAATGGGAAGCGACAAAGGCGCCGTCTGGAAGTTAACAACATTTTTAATTTTATTGCTGCTTCCTCAGATATAAACCGTATCAAGGTGTGAATAGAGCCCAGGCTGAAACATTGATTTTTATGTCCACATTAAATATAAATACATTTTTAAGGAATTTGCAAGGTAGGATGTGTGTAAAATTACTAAATTGGAACTGACAATCCTCTCGCCATCTTATTTCCTTTAAGAAACAGGACATTCTATGAGGACCTTTACTGGCAGGTGTTTGAAACACCTGTCTCTAGGCTCTGAGCTAGAATAGAACGAACTATGGTTAATATGCTTACCTTGGGCCTTAATTTTCCTCTCTGCAAGGTTGGTGTTTGGTGTGTTTTCTTATTTGTCATTGCTAACATTAGTAACAACAGGATTCAGTAACGCTAAGGATTTGCATTTATTGAACTAATACGTATATGAATAAGGTCCAAAATAGTAACCCATCACTGTATTTTCTGGAGATAGGGAGTTTGCTTTTCAAACAGTGACTTGAAGAACCCATCAGACCTTGTATGTGTAAATTTGTTGTTTGGTTTTGTCAGGATAAATCTCTAGAAGTTTCTGTTCTATATTTCAAGGAGAAAAACAATGCCACAAGAATATGAATACCATGATTTGAAAGACAGAGTTTAGTTGCTGTGGGGCTTAAGATAAGGGGCTGAAGAGGCTTGGGGCACATAAACGAAAATCTTCACTGCTCATTGTCTGAGGGCTCCTTTCTTCCATTGCCTGTTTCTGTTTTCCCTTTCTTTTCTCCCAGACTCTGATGTGCAGAGGTGGAGAAAAAGGGGAAGATTTGGATAAGAGAATTAAAAACGTATACCTCCGCTCTGCGCTCTACCAAGGGGACCATTATACATCTCTATATGTTGATGGTTGGAACGTCCTTCTAGATTTCTTTTACCTGGAAGCTTGGTCAGCACTCTGGGCAATAGCTGGCAGTGAGTGTGCTGGACTGTACTGTAATTGTGCTCTGCTCTCAGGGTCACCAGTAATCATGGCATGGATGCTGCTGTTGACAGTATCATTCACATTGTTGTGCACCTGCACCATTAGCCAAGCCCGACCACAGGCTCTATGACCTTACTTTGACTGGGAAATGAACAAGATCCCAGTGGGGTAGTTGAGGCAGGTATTCTGGAGAAGATTATTTGTATTGAGCTTTACACTTCCAGCCCAAAAGTAAACAGTTGACATTTATCCTGTGTGATTTTGTAGCTTTATCAGGGTTAGTCATTCCCATTTCAGCTTGAAACAGGCATTCATGGACTTCATTTACCATGTAGCTTTACTCATATTCCAGGGAGTCACTTACGGAATAGTGACACATGACTATCGATCAGCCAGACCCTTTATGTGCAAGCTGAGTCCTTTTCCTACTCCATGTTCTGAAAGGAGCTAATTGTGGTGAGTAGAAAGGATGATATTGACCCTGTACTGATGTTTACCTGTTCAAACCCTTATAATTCTTATAGAGCTATAAGAACCAGAGAAATCAACTTAACTTTAGTTGTGAAGTTGGAATGCATAAAAATACCTACTTTATTTATTTATTTATTTGTTAGACTCAGAAATGCTTGTAGGAAGTGGTTCCAGTTCCAGTGCTGTGGAGGGAAGATTAGATCTGGAATGAGAACTTTTGAGTTCAAGCCTTGCATCCTGACTTTAGGTCACATGAACTCTGTGATACTTAGTTTCGTTTTCTGTGAAGTAGGATAATAAGCACTGTGGACATGGAAAACCCTTATGGTCATGAGTGACAGGATCAAAGGAGATATACACATGAAGTCTCCTGGAAAAACATGCCCCAGAAAGGAATGTGAACTGCTATGTCTATGACGGGGCCGTGGCCATGGTGGGGCTTAGGTGAGAATGCATCACCAAGAGACACATATAGGAAAGTGAGGGCTAGCCGTGGTGCAGCAGAAGCACAAAGCTATGTGATACTGCGCCTACATGGGAAGGTGCTGGGTTCACATCCTGTACACGCAGTGCCTGCCTGTGACCTTGGCTGACTGAGGCAGAGGGTGGATCAGGGTGTGAAGGTCCTGTTGGGGATGACTTTCCTTCTCTGTGACAGAAGAAAGAAAGAAACTTTAAAAAAAAAGGAAAAACGAAGCAAGGACCCTAATGATCTGATATGATCTGATTGTTGCCTTTATATTAGAATTCCATATGAATGTTTTTTATTCAGCCAGCCACTGCATAACCTGGTCATATCTATTTTCTCCCTTTTCAAAGCACTGAATGCAAGGCTTGTATTCTTATAAGCGTCATTAAATAAAAATATACACCAGTTTACCCACGCCCATTCACCATGGCAACTGATTTAAAGGATATCGCTATTTGTCTATATGTTTATATTGTGAGGTTCTTCAGGGAACTTCTGGCCTGCTTGTCACATTTGCTACTATTTTTATTAAGGAGGATAGACAGAGAAATAATTGACTATTTCTCTGAAGTCTTTTCCTTGGATGAAATTATATTACCTAGGCAGAGTATAGCCTCCGTGGGGCCTTTCAGGCTTATTTACCTGTTTATTTTATGATGCTGTTGCTATTGTTGCTGCCATAACAGGTGCACGTGTGCGAAATAATAACATTATTGTCAGACAAGTGGGCTGGGTAGGTGAGAGCCTTGGGTGGGTCCAAACAGCAGAGGATGCTGTGCTAGCAAAACCCAGGTCCGCCAAGATGGAGAAAATGGTGCAGCTGCATAGATGCTCATTCGTTTTTGCATCCAACGTCACGTTGCATGTTCTGCCCAAGATAAGAAAGCAGTCGTTGGTAATGACGGGCATCACTCATTCTGACATCTATCCGATGCCCCTAGCAGAGGTAAAAATGCAAAATACAATTTGTTTAGTTGTAATGAAAAAGCAAATGCCTCATCTAAAAAGTTTTATTCATCCAAGAAATATCCTAAAAGTTCCATTTAGCTGACTAAAGAGAAAATGTAGTAAATAACTAAAGGAAAATTACTAAGGAATGCTTAAAGAAGGCTTAGGTTAGCTGCTTGGGGACTAGCAAAATAGCAATTAAGTTTATAGAATGAAGGGATTAAAAGTAACGTAAATGAAAAGTAGAAGGAAATGAACTCTGTTCTAATCTCTAAAAATGGCTTAAATAAAATGCTCATTATAGGGTGGGTTTATGAGGCACGCCAGAAGCTGCAAGGATTAGGATGCATGGATTTAAAAGGCTCGGAACCTTCTTTTGACGACGCTGACAAAATGCCATGCGGTCGTTCCTTCCTCCGGTATCTCTCCAGCCTGTGCAATAGAAATTCTATCTGAACCCAGGTTACTGCTCGGTTTTCTCATCGTTGTTAATTAAAAAATGCTTTTCAACTGATCTGTTCCTGGGCGAAATTCTACAAACATACACATTTATAGCTTGTATTTATTTTGCAAGTCCCCCCATGTTAGAAAATTGCACCAAACAGTACACTGCAGAATGATTCTGGAAATAGTTCTTGTGATTCAGGGATGGAAAGTACATGAATAACCAAATGCACCTCTAATCTTAACTCCAAGGCATTTCTATAATTGACGCTCCCTGAACCTTCTGTGAGTGATGGGCTGGAGAGTCGAGGGATTTAACTTGAAAAGGCTCTGACACTTAATGATTTATGGCTGCCTTCCTCCCTGAGCTGGCGCCCGGTATCTGCTCCGCACAGAACATGACCGGGGCACCAGGGAGCCGAAACCTCATTTAGTTACACAGGGAGCCTAAACGGTATAGCACTTCAAAGATCAACTGATCGTAATGGGAAGCCTCGGCGCCCCAGATCAGCGCTGGAGGAGCGGTGGCCTCCAGGGAGGGTTGGACTAAGGTGTCTTTCCTAAAGGTGGGGGCACACCTCCTGCCGGCTCCCTGTCTTGTCTTGGGGAGCCTGGAGAGAAGATCCCGCTATCTGGCAAGTGCTACTGCTTTCAGGGCAGCTATTTTGTCATCTTGAATATTTCATCACCTTCCAGTCTTCTCTTTGGTTTGCTAAGCACTCTTATTAGGCAAACCCCTAGGTGCCAATGGATCTGAAGCTGGTTCACCACCTGTGAAAGCCCCATTTTGGGGATGAAGAGAAATTCCTGCCTTGAGAGAAAACATGGGGCTTGTGCCACCACCAAAGCAACTTCAGAGGTGGTTGCGATGTTGCCCTGTCCAGAACGTGTAACTGAAGACACAGTGACAGTAGTAGTAGGCACCACTTGACGCAATCCGACTTAGGCCACTTGGAATTTCTGTTCATCACAACACCGTCAGGATGGCTCACCTTTGCACCCTCTGACATAGGGCTCAACCAGCAGACAGGTCGAGGCTACCAGGGCATGTTAGACTGAGGAGGAAAGAAGAGGTGTGAAAGCTTGCAGGCAGTTCCCGTTCAGATGGCAAAGCCCATATGAAATTCTGTTAGTAAAGACTTTTTATTCCATGATTATTTTATTATCTAGAAGCTGTGAAATAGCATGTTTGAAAACAAGTTCCAATGAGCGAGGTTTCACTGAGTTAGTAATAAACAAAATCTGTACCTCTTAGACACACACATATTGAAAATGGAACCATTTTTATACCCTCATTAGGATTTATTTAGAAGTATGTTGGGCCGAGGACAGGTGCTGGATGGCCCAGAGTATGCTTTCTGAGACTCTGGGCAGAGCTTGTCCTCCTCTGGGTGATCCACGTGGTTTTTTCTTTCTCTGAGCCCTGGCTGAGCAGCCTCAATGGGGAGGAGCAGAGGTTTCCCAGCAAACAGCATCACCCTCTCCTGGTTCTTGTGCTCCAGAAGCCTGAATCTTCAACAAAGACCCTTGAATTGTAAAGAAGTCAGTGGAAGGAACCTTGTGAGGCAGAGCGGGGCTTCCCTTCTCCAGCTAGGAAGCAGGTCCCAGGACTGAATTTGGTTAGCAGGCAGCATAAGTGAAGAGTTCAGTGATGCGAGAAACCTAGAGGAAGGCTCCATGAAGTTTGAGGAGCACAGAGGCAGCGGGATCTGCACCCCAGCCCTCACCCTTACCCCAACTCCACAGAAGCAGCACTGTCAGAGTGATGGTGGTAGATAGGGCTGCAGACTGCTGGGCAATGATCCATGTCCTCAGGGTGGCACAATCACCAGACAGGAGGACCCTGTGCTTGCAGTGTTAAGAAGGAAGCAGAGGGAACTGTGGACCTCAGGAATGGGATGGTGACCACAAGATGGCTCAGTGGGGACTACAAAATCAAAGACCGAAGTCCATGTGGGACAAAAGATGACAAAAGCCATTAAGGATGAAATTCCAGCTCTCCACCAACACAGATCTATAAGCTCTTTGCACTGTGCAGGTCCTTGAAACTGAGACACAACCCGGGAAGACAATGGGTGTACATTGAATTGCCTGAGCTGTACAAACTTGAACAGAGTTAAGTTGTAGAAATCTTGTTTTAAAAGGTCTTCACCTCTGAGTTTGTAGATTGATACTAGGAACTGTTCAGAAGCCTGTAGTAGTTTCAAATAAACCATTTCTTTTAGGTTATAGGTTCAGTTGTGTCTCCAAAGATGGCATGTTGGCATCCTATCCCCTACGACCCAGAATGTGATCTTAGGTGGGTCTTTGCAGAAGTGACTGGGTTCAAATGAGTGAATGGGAGAGCCTCCATGCAGGGTAACTGGAGTCCTCATGAAAACAGGGAAATAGGGACAGACCTGGAACAGACCTTCCCTAGAACCTCAGAAGGAACCAGCCCTGTGACGTTCAACTTAGGAGTTCTATCTTCCAGAACTGGAAGGCAGTAAATTTCTGCCATTTAGGACACTCTGTCTGTGATATTTGTTATAGCAACCCAGGCAAAGCAATTATAATCCTATCTTCTTGGTGTTCTAGGACTCAGTATATTTTCCTGAACAGGCAACGAAACAATCTTTATTTGTCCACTCCACACTTTATGGTAGATAGATGAGTTCCACAGTCACAAATATGGGACAGTAATTTCTTAAGGCTCAAGTCCCTCTCTGGATTTGGGGCTTCCTGGAAAGGCACATGGTCTGATGACTTGGATCTTTGTCCTCAGGTGGGGCATTTGCCTCTGCTGCTCTCCAGGTACAAAGCCAGCTTCTTGCAAGTGTTTGGCCTCCCACAGTCACAGAACTCAGGACCTCTTGCTCTTGCTTGCTTTAGGAAAGAGGACACCCAGAAGTCCTCTGAGATGCCTGCTTCTGCTGCTTCTAGCTGCCCTTAGTTCTGCTACCTGAGAGGTTGGCTAAAATGCAGGGAAGATGGCCTTACTCATCCACTGCATTCTGCTTCTAGACCAGCATTGTTTGACAGACATATAATGGGACACACACATATACCTTAAAATTTTATACATGTTGCATTAAAAATCCAAAGCAAATAGGTGAAAGATAACATTCTAAAAATGGCAAGAGGGACTAGCAGATGGCATAATGGTTATGTCACTGGACTCCCACGTAGTTGACTGTATTTAAGTCCTGAACTTAGGGACTTAAACTCTCCCTGAGCGTGTGTGTGTATGTGCCTAAGATCCTGAGAGGAGAATGGAGGAGAAAGGATTGTAGTGTGGCCATCCCCCATGGGGGCGATTTCTTGCTTTCTAGCTTTCTGTTTCTCCAATAAGTGCATGCACCCTATAGCAAAACATTTCTCTTTAGAATAAATAAATAAAAATAGCAAGAAAGAAATGACAAATTACTTACAAAGGTTATCCTATTATGTTAACATCAGTCCTCTCAACTGTAACAGTGGAAATGAGGGGAGAATGAGCAGACATTTTCAAAACATTAAAATAAAAACAATTTCAACGAAGAATACTATACCCAGAAATATTATCCTTCAAATGTGAAGAAGAAAAAAAATCATTCTCAGATAAACAAAAACTGAAAGAATGTACCTACACTAAATCAGCTCTTCAAGAAGTACTGAAGGGAATACTCTACGAGGAAAACTAAAGAGAGACTAACACAAATAAGAGAACACAAAACAACCAAAAAAATGGGTAACAAAATGGTAGGGATAAATGCAAATATCAATAATAATGTTGAAAATTAATGGATTAAATTCTCCAATTAAAAGACACAGACTGACTGAATGGATTAAGAAAAAATCCCAGACCCTCTATATGATACTTACAAGAAACACACCTCATTGATCAAGACATACATAGACTGAAAGTAAAGGACTAGAAAAAGATATTCCATGCAAATAGAATCCTCCCCCACCCTAAAATAAAAGCTGGAATCCTGATACTGATATCAGACAAAATAGACTTCAAGACAAAAACTGTAAGAAAGGATGAAGGACACTGTAGAGTACTAAAAGGGCCAACCCACCAAAAAGATGTAACGCCAATAAATATCTATGCACCCAACATTGGAACATCCACTATGTGAAAGAAAAACTGCTAGACCTAAAAGGAAAGGTAGATTGCAATACAGAAATCACTGGGGATCTCAACACCTGTTACCTCTGGACAGTCATGTAGACAAAAAATAAACAGACACGGGAACTAAATGACACCATAAAACAAATGGACTTGTCAGAGATAGATGATATTTTACCCAACAACCACAAAATATACATTTTTCTCATCCTCATGTGGAACATTTTCAAAGACTGACCACATGATAGGGCACAAAACAAGCCTTTAATTAAAAAAAAAAAAAACCAGAAACTATAATGAACATCTTTTCTGATCCAAATGGAATTAAATTTGAAATCTACTACATAAAGAACCTTTGAAAATATACCAATATATGAAACTGAACAACCTACTCCTAAACAACTTCACAACATAAAAGAAATTAAAGCTAAATTCAAAAGACTCTTTGAAAC